GCGCCTCCACCTCGCTGGCGTTGGCGGCTTCGGGCGCCCGGCGCGCGGGCGCCGCTCCGCTCCAGCACACGGCACCCGTGAACTTCTGCTGGGGCAGCACGAAGGTGTAGGTGCAGCGCGGGGCGCCCGCCCGCGCCCAGGACGCACCCAGCAGGAGCAGCAGCGACAGCGCGCACAGCCAGGGCGGCGACATGGCACACCTGCAAGCGAAGGATCAATGTGCAAGGACGTGAGGGCCGCGGAGCCCATTCTCGGATCCGGACTCCCAGCGTGTCTACACTGCGGGGCTCCGGGTCCACATATGTCCGGGGACCCCGCCCTGGCCTTCTACAGAGCTCAAGTCATGCATTCACTGAGCGTGTACTGTGTGCCCGCCCCGTTGTAAACGCCAGGAAAACAGAAATCCCCGCCCTGCTGGGCAAGACGCTAATTATAGGGTTAACAGAGCTTCAAAACTTGGGGAAGGGACCTGGCGACGGAGCCGGGGTAGCCTAAGAGGTGATGGGTACAAAGAGGGAAGGCTTCCTGGAGGAGGTGACATCTGAAACAAGGAAGAAAAACCATAGGGGTGTCTGGAGAGAAGTGTGTCCTCGGGGCAGGGAACGGCAGGTGCAAAGGGCCTGGGCTGGGCCTCCTGATGTATTACTAAAGGAAACTCCCAGAGGCTGGAGAGAGAGCAGAGAGCGAGGGGGTGGGCAAAGGCGAGGTGATTGAGGGGCACGTCCCACTAACGCATCTGTCTCAGGAGTGGACACCCCATCTTTCACCTCCACAAACCAAAATCTGAGTCATCTGAGGCCAGAAGGTGGCGTGGTGGTTATGGGGCTGGACTCCCATGTGGTCAACCGGGGTTCAAGTCCAGGACCCGGCTGCTTGAAAATCATGCCAGGCGCATGTGCGTGCCTGCCCAAAGTCCTGAGAGGAAAATAGGGGAGGAGGGATTGCAGTGTGGCTATGCTCCCAGGTGGGGGTTTCTCTCTCTCTCTCTCATGCCCCCAAAACTTTGGCATGGCCACTACCTCCAGGGGGGATTTCTCCCAGTCTCTCTGTCTCTCTCCAGTAAGCGCATGTGCCCGATGGCAAAAAAAACCCTAAAAAACGAGAATAAGAAGTTACCCGTGAGTTCGTCCTTCATGACAGCGGATGTGACCTATCGGCCAGGCTTGTCCGCTCTTCTGTTTAGACCCTGAGTTCCTCCACGTCCCCTTCTCCCCTCCCACCCACTCAGCTCAAGACACCATCTGGATTTCCTTCACCAGCTGCCTCCCTGGTCTCCAGTCTCAGCCTCTGGTCGGCTCCCCTCAGAGCGGCAAGAAGATTCCTATGGACGCTCAAGCCGGTTCACCTCCCCCTGCTCAGAACCCTCTGTGGCTCCCACCTCACTTAAAGGAGAAGCCCAAGTCCTCCCGGTGGCCAAGGTCCTGCACTGTCTTGTCCTCTGCTGCCCTCACCTACTCCCACTCTCCACCCACGTCCTTGTCTGTCTCAGACACGCCAGGCAAGCCCTAGATTCAGGTCTGTTTTCCCAGCCTGGAACGGGGTCTCTTTTTTTTTTTCTCTTAGCCAGAGAGTGGAAGAGAAGGAAATTGAGAAAGCACCCCCAAGGGGGGACAACCACACTGCAATTCCTTCTCCTCCATTCTCCTCTTGGGTTTTGGAGCACACACGCACACGCATCCCGTGAGATTCTCAAGCCACCGGGTCTGGGACTCGAACCGTGCAGTTGGCCATGTGGAATCCAGCCGCCTTCACCACTGTGCCACTGGCTAGCCTGGCCCTTGCTTTCAAACTGCCCATAGAAGATCAGGGAGGTGTGAGAGCCTGGCGCAGAGTGAGCAAGGGGAAGGGGCGGGGAGGGTTTGGGGAAAATTGTGCTGGGCCCGGAGTTTTGCTCTGGGTCAGTGGGAGCCATGGAGAGTTCTGAGCTGCAGAGGGGAGTGTTCACTTCTGCCCTCACCAAGCACCAAGTATGAGGGCAGGCAGGGTCCTCGCTGCTCCTCGGAGACACTGCACCCCACCACAGGGATCGAACCAACGCACCCCCCTGCACGCCCACAGCCTGGCACAAGGACGAAGCCAGGGTCTCCCACCAGACAGAACCCATCTCCGCTCACGTCCACACCCTCTCACCTCTCAGCACCGAGACCCCGAATCCAGGAAGGCTCACGGCAGGCACCAGGAACTCTGGAGTCCAGAACTGCTGAGGGTCCAGCAGGGCCTCTGAGCTGGGGAAGGGGAGGCGACGGGAGAAAAGATTGAGAAGTCTCAGTAACCACCCCCCTGCACCCCGCACCCTGGGAGTGGAGCCGGCCCCTCGGTCCTGGGGCCCCAAGTGTAAATATTTAGCGTTTCCCGCCTGAGAACCGAGGCAGAATTTCCAGACGCCCCTGCCCAGGCCACCAGAGCCCGATAAGGCAGGTCAGTGTCCTGGACAGCCCTCCTCTTCCCCCTGCAAAGCACGGAGCATGGAGGCTGCAGGCCTGGGTCGGCCCAGTGGCCCAGACTCTGAACAGACAGCGGTGGGTGGGGGGACACAGTTGTGTGTCAGCTTGGCAGGAAGCCCTTCACGCCTTTTTTTTTTTTAATTTTTTAACTTTATTTATTCATTTATTTTAATTTGCCTAGAGAGAGAGAGAAAGCAAGCCGCCAGGTTCGGGACTTAAACTGCGATCAGCCATATGGGAGTCCAGCGCCCTTAACCACCATGCCAACTACCGGGCCCTGCACTTTTTAAAAAAGAATTATTTAACTTTATTTATTATTAATATTTAATTTGCTATAGAGCATGTGCACTCAACAGAGAGAGGGGGAGAGAGAAAAAGCAAGTCACCAGGTCCGGGACTCGAACCATGGTTGCCCATGTGGGAGTCTGCCTTAACACCTTGCCACTTGCTGGCCCTTTTTTCTTAAAACTGCAGCTTAGGAGCTGGCAGGTGGTCTGGTGGTTAAGGACGCTGGACTCCCACATGGCTGGCTGCAGTTCAAGTCCCAGACCTGGCAGTTTGCTTTCTCACTTTCCTTCTCTCTCTCTCTCACTCTTTTTTTGTTTGTTTTTTTTTTGTTTGTTTGTTTTGTTTTTTGTTTTTGAGAGATTTTCACTGTAGGGCGCGTGCGCTCGCCAGACAGACAGAGAGAGACATAGAGACAGAAAGCGAGAAATCACCCCCCAGGGGGGATG